ATTTATACTCTAATGTCCATGTTTACATACGAACGGTGCACAGATCTTGCATATTTAGCAGTTTTAATTCTGTAATTCGTAAACTACTGAAGATAGAATACTGAAATATTGCAAAGGGTACAGTACAAGTAATTTTTCTCATATAAAAGTTTAAGACTTTCGTTATCTCCTTCATGATCCAATGATAAAATTTAGACCAAGTTAGTATAGGACCACCTGTGAAATCACACCTTTATTTACTGTTATATGAAAAGTGGCCATAATTTTAGTGCGATTTAAATAATTTCCAAGGTTTGCTTTTATGTGGCAAGCACAATAACCATACCAAGTGTGGTACATATTGGTCGAACGATTACCGAGATACATATATGAGATCATAAGTGGGCGGTGCCACGCCTATTTTCCAAAATTGTATCATAAACGTATTGTTGAATTGTTGCGAGCATCAATTTTGAATAAATTAGCTTTGGTATTACTGCTTTATCGAAGATTTCGAATTACTCTAAATCACCGTTATATAGGATATGGGGTTGGTTGGATTTTTTAAATGTTCAGCTATTTGGTATGTTGTACCAAGACCAAAAACTGTGCCAAGTTTGGGAGAAATTGGTGGAGCGGTTACCAAGATATACACATGTAATCATAAGAGGGCATAGCTACGCCTATTTCGCAAAACTTTATAATATTTTTATTTCTCGTCTTAACATCATTGTAAATATTAATTTTGAGTGAATAAGCTTCAGTAGTTACTAAAATATCGCAGATTTTGTATTTCTGAAAACTACCGTTATATGGAAGGTAGACGTGGTTATTGTCCGATTTTGCTCATTTTCAATACACTCCGTCCTGAAAAGAAGTTCACGTATCAAGTTGTGTTAAGATATCTCGTGTTTTACTCGAAATATAGTGTGTACATACGGACAGACAGTCACCGCTTAATAGATTTCACTTTTCATTCTAACAATTTATATATACATTGGCCTATACCTATCTCGATTCGCTTTGCCTGTTACAAACACCCGTTATGTAAACAAAGTTACAATATTCTTGTGCACAATTGCCCTCGGAAGAGCGCATGTCCGGCAACTGGAAATTAAGTGTGCTCCCCCCAATCCACAAGAAAAGCGATCCCGCCAGTGGCGCCAACTAACGAGGGCCAGCTTTCTAAACATAGGTTGCAAGGTATTATCAAGTGGCACGGTGCCTCTGAGCTGGAATTAAATAAAAGGTTTTTGCATATGAAATTTTCTTGATATTGATCATAAAAATCTAAAAAGTGAAAAAACATTCGTAGGCGGACGCCCCAAACCGGAGGAGCAGCTCGGCCAAACATTAAAATATGTGTAAGCGCTAACGTAAGGGGTGGTCCTCAGTGCGATGGAAAGACCAAATGGAGAAGCACTTGACTTTACTTGGCATGACCGATTTTCGCCAGTTGGGAAAAAAGAGAAATGACTGGCGTGCTTTGCTCGAACTCCGCCAAAATAGTTTAGCCGGTTAAAAGAAGATTAAGGCCCCTATTATGAGTTGCATTCGATTTTCTACTGTGGTCGAAAGTGCTGAGCGAACGAATTTTCATTTGGTATTATGGCGCTCATTCGATGAAGAATAGCGCTATTGTGAATTTCGCTCGTTTAGGTTGTTCACAATAGTATATTTTTCACCGCTGAGAAGCTTTGTTTACAAATCGAGCAAACTAAATAGTGTGCTTATACATATTTATGCAAATTTGTTCTAATTAAAATGAAGTAAAAAAGAAAGCAATTTTATAAAAACGTGGTAAAATGAGTACAACGAGTTCTGGTTCAACGATTCGTCAGAGGATGAGAGCTTAGTAAACTGGCCAGGAGTAGCAAATGTTTAAGAGAGTTTAAGTTTATTAGTCTTTCGAATATATTTTGATATAAAATATATTTAAGAAATTTGTCTACAGATTCATTAAAAAGTTCCGACCATCTAAAGAGGCGTTTGTGAGCCAAATCTATTTAAAATATTTTAAAACTATCAACAGCGCTACGATTTTGTTCTCAGAGATCGTGCCAACAGAGCATTGGGATTTTCTTTCACAAGTAAAACCAGCCTTTCGAGCTTGTGTTTAGTATTCACGATGTTAGAACTGCATGAAATTAATAAAAATTGTTTAAAATTAGTGTCTAGCCGCCAAAATGTAAGAAAACATATACAAAATCATACATTTTTCACAATTTTCTAACACTTCGTTACACCATCGAAAGCAAAATTCTGTTCGACAGAAAATTCGATACTCAACGAAAATTTCGACACGCCTGCATAGCTCATAATACGAATTTCACTTTCGATCTTCGATCTTCGATAGCCAGCGAAGATCGAAAATCGAATGCAGCTCATAATAAGGGCCTAAGTTGTTGTTGCAAACTGTGCAATTTAAATTCTGAAAAAATCTATCTTGATTCAGAAGTTATGATTTTTGCAACGAAAACATCAAAAGGCTTTATAGTGCGACATTGCGAAATGGGAGGGTTTTTATCTTATCTCGAAACTTTTCAACATCTTACTTAGGGATTAATAAAGCGGTTGTTGAGGATAATAGATTTAGGCATTTTTACCTAAGGCAGCACCACATTTTGTATTAAATCTAGTGGATTTTTGAATAGAAAAGTTTTTTGGAAAATATAGCTTTCTAATTCCCAACATTTGCTATACATTAGTTCTAGTATTTTCTTCAAGTATTTTTATCCCTCCCAACTAATAAAGTCCTCAAAGTCCAAGAAAACACGAAACTCACTTGCTTTCAGTAACCGCTTGTGGTAGCTGTCAAACACCCAGCTAAATGATGAAGCTGGTTCCAATTTTGACATTAGTTTATTAGGAGATGTTAGTTCGCAATAAAAGTTTTGAACTTTAACTTAATATATAAAATATTAAATAAAAAGTATTAAAAAATATTAATAAGTAGAAATAAATATTAATATTCTATAAAAAATATTAATAAAAAATAAACATTAATATATAAATTAAAAGAAAATCATTATCTACTACACACTGCAGTTTCTTTCCATCCGCAGGTAACGAAAGTAAACCGGAAGCATTATAGTTTTTTTGTTTACCTGAAGTTGTTAAAAAGTGTTGCAATTTAAAGTTCGGACGATAAAATTCATGAACAATAAGCAAAACCGAAAAGCAGTTAACAAAGCGTTGACGGAAATTAATGTCTCGATCAGCGTATACAAAAATTACGATTGCCCTTAATTTTCGATGCATAAATTTTCTGGTTATTTGTACCAAACCCGTGTGTTGAATTCAATTAGTATTTAGAATTAAATATACATATGGGTAAACTTCGAAATGAAAACATTTACACACATATATATATCTATATATAACCAGCCAGTAAAATCATCGTAAACGAACCCCAAACTGGATATTTTCTCGAAGAAAAACCGGCTAAAATGTCGTTTATGATAGCCGTTTAAGATTCGTTTTCGAGTACTTTATCGCTTGAAATTGTCGATCGCCTATGAACAGTCGTAAACGGATCGAAAAAGCATTCGTATGCGAATATTATATATTATAAAATATTGTGGTTCAAGAAAATTTTCCAACAGAATGAAAGTTTTTTCTTGTGCTGACAAATAACTACAAGCCTCTTTATTTTATTTTGTTTTTGCTCTATCGTTTACGAGTTTTTCTCTAAGTTTCCGCCGATCGAGAACCCCTCGTGAAACATAATGCTCGTAAAATGTACGTTTTCTTGCTGGCTGGGTATATTTTTGTAGACACATATAAAACTACTCAAATTTCAAATAAGTTTAATATAAAGCGAAAAAAACAATCCAAAATTGACACCAATACAAGTGGCATACATGTGCATGGTTGAGCATGGAAATACCTCCTAAATGTATGCTTTAATATTGACACTGAATTAAATAAATGTGCTAGTCAGCGTATTAGGCTTTGGCAGCCCTATTCTTACAACACTGGCAAAATTCATAGTATGACTATTGTCACTAACACAAATAAAAACACAATATAAACATTGTGCCTCATGCGTAAGAAGTGAGCTTAAGCTCCGACTCGATTTTCATAACAAATTCTTAAGTCTGACCCCACTCCATCAAGGCAAATGTACAATAACAATGACAACTTTGACCAGTGGAGAGTCTAAAATAAATTTGCGGCATATGTAGTATTAGGCGTAGCAGTGAAGACAATAGTCAGCCGTTGAGTTTTTTCATTGGCTTGGGAATACGGCTGCAAGATTTAAACAATGAAGAAGATAAACTTGAATGTGTAGAAGAAGAAAGGGATAAAGGTACAGATTAAAATAAAAGTAAAGAAACTCAAGTTTAAATCTTTAATATAATGACAAATGTGGGGGTGAGAAAATAATTGTTATAAAGATCAGGACAAAGGAAAAGGAAAAGATAAAGATAAAAATGAAAAGATAAAGAACGATAAAGACAAAGGCAGAGGCGGAAATATTCATAGAGATAGAGAAAATGATAAAACTGAGGAGTGAGATTTATTATGTTATGCAAGGTTTTGTAACGTTATGTTTCCCTTCATTTATGTCATCTTTCACTCAACTCTCCTTAATGTTAGTGTTTGAATTTCAACCGCTAAGCGAACACTTTCATCTTTGTCTTTATCTTTACATATCTTGAATTTGTATATCTTTTCTTAATCCTTCTCTTCATCTACCTATTCAACTTTACCTTCATCCTTGTGTGAACCTTTATCTAAATCTTGTTCCTAAACCGCAGCTTAGCAACTTTCATTGATTCAGTAATGATATGTACATGCTTGGCGTTTGTATTATTGACTTCTGAATTGATTTTTTAGCTTTATATTAAAGAAAATATATTGATATTTAATAATAATTTTTATTCCTTCCTCCAGCATCAAAATAATTTTAGAATTATGTATAATTCTTTATATTTTAGCCTTAAATGGATGCAGGTTAAACACGTTTTGCATATTTATATATCACATAAATATTTCTATAAAAGTATTTCACTCACCTTCAACTGCATTCCTTCATTAGGGCTATTTTCCTCTGCGCCTTGCTTCAAGCCGCTAAGGAAACGTGCGAACACAGTGCGCCTTTTATTCCGATTGCGTCCCTCTGTTTTCAAGCAGATGAATTGTATTTCAATTAATCGCATATTCATTTAACATTTTTCAATCTCAACAGGAGTAGAACCTATTTTTCCAAACATTACAACAAGTATTTTCATTTCCTACCTGTTGCCGAGAATTCATAAAAGAAATTCCGCCTGGCGCCCGGATAACTGTGTTGCATGCCATTCAGGTTAACCGCCGATTTCGAATCAATTGCACTTCGGGCCATGCGATTTGCCAAATCGTTTTGTGTATAGCTATATATTTCATTCTCCTCACGATTCGTAAGGCAACTAGATGGCTTCAGATACCAAAAAATATACCAAAAATAGTGTTAGTTGAAATAAAAAATGGCCAACATAAACGCAACAACATGATTTGATAGAGTGCATGCAATAAAAATGAAGAACGAAAATTTCAATTTAAGCTTGCAATGTGAACAACGCCGACCGACAACAGCCTCTAGCACCTACACGGCGTATACGTACCGAATACTTCCCTGGCACATACAATGGTTGGCTGTGACTTGTTGGCAAGGTTGATTGATTTGCGATATTGCCGCCAATCATACCGAATCCAACACCTACACCGCCACCACCGCCCATCATGCTAGACATGACGCTGACACCACCACCACTGCTGCTGCCACCCGCTCGCCTTGACAACGTGTGCCCTGTCGAGATGCGCACATGCCGTTCCTTCCACTTGGAGACGCGTACCTCTTCAATTGCGTCCAACACGTCCTCGTACGGCATATTAATCTGTTTGCTATAGTGAGCGGCAAGGCCTTCCAAATAGCCACGTTTGCCCTCCTGCAACAAGAGAAACATGTATAAGAAGCAGTATGAGAAAAAATCTCCTAAAAGCTACTGAGCTGATGTAAAATTCATCGAATGCAAGTAGCATAGGCTTACAGTAATAAAAATTGCAGCATTGCAACACATTACAAGCGCATAAATTTCAATTGAAGAGGCACGAGAAAGAGAGCAATGCGCCAAGGCAGGTTGGGCAGCAGCGGATAAATATAAATGAAACGGCTCCAAATTGTGGTAATTTATCAACAAAATTACTTTTGAAATAAAAAAAAGTTGTCGATTTTAGAAGAGAATTTGTCACTGCCACAGCAATATTTTAGATATCAACATAAGCTCTTCAGTAATTAACAGTCACATAGCAAACTTTCGACATCAGCAAGTCACTCCCCGCGCACATATTTTTAATTCCCTAACTGTCGTCGGCAGTCAAAGTGATAATATCTTCCGGTTATTAGTAAAGAGCTCCCACTGCAGCCAAGTGAAGCAAACACGCTTATGTGCGTACTCATACTTGGTTATACCTATCCATACTTGAGTTGAATATGGGTGCCTATATTATAAAAGAAAACTAAGCCCCTTCATCAAAATAAAACAGCAGGCAGGTGCGGTGATGCACGATGAGTCATCATCGCCAGCTTCGAGCTACTTACAGCGTCTGAGCCGCTGCAGAACCATTGCACCCACTCTTAGTTCTGCAGACAAACACCACCACTTACCCATTCAACTTGACGTTGAGCACAGGGTTGCCACTTTGGTAAATTGTTACCACAATTGGTAGAAAAAATTTAGATTGGTAAAAAGTTCGAAATTTAGACAACATTTTTTTGAATTTTTTCAAACCTTGTATATAGCCTAAATTACGGTGACCATAATTAACCAACGTAAAATAAAGGACTTTTTTCAAAATGATTTGGGAATACGTACATACAACTTGTATGATAAAAGTATCTTACCCATATCGTAATTTTAATCAAGTATTTACCAGTTAATTATATTATTTAATTGTCGAAGTTCCAATGCCCTAGCGAAAAATTAAGCCAAATCATTTTCAAGGACTACGACGATGCCAGCACACAGTGGTTCAAAATTGGAATTTAATGTTCATAATCCACCGGAGCCTTCATTTTTCACCCAATTTTTACTTAAAACCAAAAAAGTATTTATATTGGTGAACATTTTTTTATAACATTTCAAATTATTTGTGTATTTTTTTTTTTTTTGGGGAGAACCATACAATTGTTATACCCGAGCGCACTTGTACACAAGGGTGTATTAATTTTGTTCACATAACAGTTGTTTGTAACAGCCAGAACGAATCGAGATAGATATAGACAAATGTATACATAAATGCTTAGAATAAATAGAGAAATCGATTAAGCCATGTCTGTCTGTCCGTCCGTCCATGTACACGATAACTCGAGCAAAAGTTGAGATATCTCAACGAAATTTGTAGGTAGGTTGGTATTGAAAATGGGGGAAATCGGACTGTAACCACACCCACTTCCCATATAACGGTAATTTCAAGAAATACGAAAACTGCGATATTTTAGTAACTACTGAAGATAATTCGTTCAAAATTGATATTTACAATAATTTTCAGACGGAAAATAAGAATATTATAAATTTTTGGGAAATGGGTGTAGCCACGCCTACTTATGGATACATGTGTATATCTTGGTAACCGTTGCACCAATTTCTTCCAAACTTGGCACAGTTGTTGGCCTTGGTGCAGCATACTAAATGGCGGAAAATTTAAAAAATCGGACAATAACCACGCTCATATCCCATATAACGGTAATTTAGAGAAATACAAAATCTTCGATAAATCAGTAAATATTAAAGCTAATTTATTCAANGTGTAAATATCGTAAGCATTCATAAAAAAAATTAAAATTAATCATATTAAGTGAAAAATTAAGGATCCAGTGAATTACGAACATTAAATGCCAGTTTTTAACCACTGTGCAGTAGGGGATTTATTGTTCTCTTTCAGTGGAACTGGAAACTCAGCGTACAACACGATCCTGGGTACAACTTTTCCTGTACTTTATAGATTGTACAAAGATTACGGATTAAANTTAAGCCATGTCTGTCTGTCCGTCCGTCCATGTACACGATAACTCGAGCAAAAGTTGAGATATCTCAACGAAATTTGTAGGTAGGTTGGTATTGAAAATGGGGGAAATCGGACTGTAACCACACCCACTTCCCATATAACGGTAATTTCAAGAAATACGAAAACTGCGATATTTTAGTAACTACTGAAGATAATTCGTTCAAAATTGATATTTACAATAATTTTCAGACGGAAAATAAGAATATTATAAATTTTTGGGAAATGGGTGTAGCCACGCCTACTTATGGATACATGTGTATATCTTGGTAACCGTTGCACCAATTTCTTCCAAACTTGGCACAGTTGTTGGCCTTGGTGCAGCATACTAAATGGCGGAAAATTTAAAAAATCGGACAATAACCACGCTCATATCCCATATAACGGTAATTTAGAGAAATACAAAATCTTCGATAAATCAGTAAATATTAAAGCTAANCATTAAATGCCAGTTTTTAACCACTGTGCAGTAGGGGATTTATTGTTCTCTTTCAGTGGAACTGGAAACTCAGCGTACAACACGATCCTGGGTACAACTTTTCCTGTACTTTATAGATTGTACAAAGATTACGGATTAAAGAGAAACCCTTAAGTGGAGTGCGAAACAAACTGGCGAAGGTTTTCATTATATTTTATAAGGGACAGTTTTATTTTTTCATATTCTGGGTTTAAAAATTTATCTCTGAAAAATGCAGAGCCGATTTAAAGGACAGTTTAAGGAATAAAGGACTGAAGGCGTCCTTTATTTTGAAAAAAAATTATAAAGGACAGGGGTTAAAATAAAGGACTGTCCTTTTAAATAAAGCCGTAGCCTAAATCCTTGATTTTAATGTGTTTGGTTAAAGCGGCAACAATATTTTTATACAAAAAAATATTTACTTAGAAAATACTGTGAATATTAAAAAAAAATCACCAAGCCGTGTCTTAGTCACTTTATTTGTCTAAAATAACACCAGTTGAAGTTTTTTCATATCACGAACTTTTGTTGTTGCCTTTAGTTTCATCACTTTCAACAATTTTAATTTTATTTTTTTTTTATTAAAATAACGAAAGAATTTTGTTTTATTTAAAAACGATGCTAGTAGATATTTTCCATGTTTGGTAGATTTATTTCAAGTGGATGGTAACTTTTTTTTCGTCGATGGCAACCCTGATTGCGCAGCCCCATGGCCTTATCATTTTGCACTCACTGCATTGCCGAATGCTGAATTCCCAAACATTCGGGCGAAATGCAGGCGAGTAAAATGTCTGTGACGCGTTTGCACCTTTTGGGGACTAATATTCTCCAGACTGACGGTAGTTGTCTATGCAAATGTAGTGCGCTTATATATGTATATGTTTCTATGTAGATGGTTTGTATGTGTCTATTGTGGTTTTGTGAATTTCTTGAAGAGCAATTAGTTGCGTCGCGCCAGAGTGCTCTGGCGACAAAATGCATAAGCCGCTAGTCAATTTAATGCAGACGCATTAGAGATAAACATGCATATGCATATATACACATATGTAATTATGTATGTTTATTGCTAATGAAGAGAGGACATATTGATGCTAGTTTTCAACTAAGTTGCGTAAGTTAGACTTTTTCTGCTAGCGCGGTTTAGAAATAAAAGTGAATGATGGTTTGTTTTTTGACGTTTTTGAATGAACCCTTTCTCTGTGAAAGGTTCAATTTAAATAAATTTCAAAGATCAGTATTTAAGAATGCAACCTCAACATTTTATTAAGTTAGATTACAAAGCATGCTTATTTTCGGAGCAGTCGACCTTAATTTCTATACTACTATTCGTTGGGAAATAGTATCTAAAATACTCCATTTTAGTAATTCTTTTTATGGCGACTTTTAAAGAACTTGGTGTTTTCAGAACGGTGATAATATTTAAAATTGCTGGATTTGTATAATTTTTGTCCTCAAAATCTAAAGAAATAAAAGATATGGTGGTTATCAATGGAAAAAGACGTTCCCAAAAATCGTACGGAAAGGCGATTTTCTATATTAAATAACTTTTGCTGCATTGTCATAATATCGAGCCAAATAAGCTACTGATTCACTAGAATACAGTGGCTGCATGGTTAAATTACGATTTCGCTTATATTATCGATATTTATATGTTTTGATTTATTTAAAAAATCATTTACAGTCTTATAGGAAATTGCCTTATTTTACTGCCTTTACTTTTTTTAAAGTTACTATATTTGTCCAAGCTATGTGGAGCTGCCGATACAAACATATATTCAGGGTTACAAGCCTGTAATTATACACTTTTCTACATTTCATTTGAAATAGTATGCACCAACGGATTAAAATTAGTAAATAATTAGTACCTTTTCTACTACATTAAAATGCGTAACCGGAATAATCCTACCGAAAAAGTGAGGTTAAGTTATTGATAACACCTTGTTATTATTACACCGTGGATCGGATTAAAACCAAATCAGAATGGGACCACCTGTGGGGTAACACCTTTCCTTTAAACAAAGAATTATAGAAATCGGTTAACGTGGTCCAAAGTTATGCGGCAAAATACATAAAAAATAAAATAATAAAAAATAATAATATTCCAATGAATTGATAGCCTTTCTCCTTTTTGTGAAATTGGTTAAAAAGTAGTATTTACATATGCAAATGCATATCGTGTAAGTGCGCTTAAGTAAACTTAAATCTAACATATTGCACTATGGAGGAGCTAGTTCACGGGTGTGTGAATATCTACTCTGGCTAGATGCTTTAGGAATATTTCTGCATCAAAAAGAAAATTTGGAAAAAAAATGTCGCTTACATTATTTTGGCGGTTAGGGCTCGATATTTACAAGAAATCAATGTACAGTTGGTATACCACAATAATCAATTTCAATGACACTTCTTTTTGAAACCTATAATAAATGC